ACAGCTCTTATCAGAACTACGGCTTGCCCAAGGTCATCCAGCCAGGTGCAAGTGGAGGAGTGGGGAATCAAACCCGATTCTCCCAGATTAGAGTTCGCGCACTTAACCCCTACACCAAACTGGCTGTCAAGAGGAACAATCTGGGAATCTCTCCCCACTCTAAAAAAAACTCTTCCTCTGGAATTTTATAAACTCTTGGGGAGTTTAAGCTGGCAGATTTCACCTTGTTTTTGTTTATTTACTTCACTTATACCCTTGCCTTTGATGAGGACCCAAAGCGGAACAATCCGGGAATCTCTCCCCACTCTAAAAAAACCTCTTCCTCTGTAATTTTATAAGCTCTTGGGGAGTTTAAGTTGGCAGATTTCACCTTGTTTTTGTTTATTTACTTCACTTATACCCTTGCCTTGGATGAGGACCCAAAGCGGCTTGCTACATCCTCCTCTGCCCTGTTCTGCCTTCACATCAACGCTGCGGAGTATGTTAGGCTGAGAGTGTGAGTGGCCCAAGGTCATCCAGCAAGCTTTCATAGCAGAGTGGGAATTCAAAACCGGGTCTCCCAGATCTGACTCCAGCTGTCTAACCACTACACAGAATGGAGCGGGTGCAGAGGAGAGCGACGAGGATGATCGGGGGCCTGGAGACCGAGCCCTAAGAGGAAAGGCTGAGGGACTTGTTGTGCAGCAGTGGAATCGGCTGCCTAGGGAGGTGGCGAGCTCCCCCTCCCTGGCAGTCTTTGAGCAGCGGCTGGACAAACCCTTGTCAGGGATGCTCTGGGCTGATCCTGCACTGAGCAGTGGGTTGGTGGCCCCTGTGACCCCTTCCGACCCTGTGATTCTATGATTCTACCACAGTGGCTCTCCTTTCACTGACTCTCAGCTGCTCTCAACATTCTGTATCACCTAGAGCATATTCAGCTCTCTCTCTCTCCTGGGACCATTTTGAAGTGTGTCCCCCTTCCCTTCCTACCAACCAGCTTTTCAAACAGCAAAGCTGGATCCATGAGCAACCATAACCATAAGAGTCAGATGGATGCACTGGAGGCTTATATAGGGTTCCCAATACTGCCTCAGAAAATGCTTGGAGATTTGGGAGGGAATGTTAAGGGAGGCCAGAGTTAGTGGATGGTGTGATGTCACTTCTGGGTGATGCCTTAGAGTGCCTCCCCTAGTCCTGATCTGTGTTCCCTCTAAGCTGAGTCAGTGTGAGCTAGCTCATAGTTTTTTAGCCTCTGGCTCACACATTTTTGTCTCAGCTCAGGAAGGATGACTGTTTCCAATACTGCCTCAGAAAATGCTTGGAGATTTGGGAGGGAACGTTAAGGGAGGCCATAGTTAGGGGATGACATATGTCACTTCTGGGTGATACTTTAGAGTGCCTCCCCTAGTCCTGATGGTCTTTACCATAGAGACTAGGGAAAATGCCTGGAGTGTCCACAATATGGAGGCCATTTTTCTCCCACTCCTCAGTTCTGGGGGGGAGGGGTAGAAATTGGGGCTGGTAATGCACAGGCTTAGACAGAGAAACGTAGAGCTGGTTGTCATCTACATACTGATGACATCCAACCCCAGATGATCTCATTCCACAGCCTCTTATAAACGTTGAACCACATGGATGACAGACTGGAACCCTAAGGCACCCCAGCGGACAAATTCCAACTTTTTGATTCTGTTTTTCTGGTGGAAACTCTTCCTGTCCAATCAGGCAAGAAAGACTAAAACCACCAAAGAGCTTCTCTTCTGACAACACCAATTCCATATTCCAACCAACGAATACAAATGGAACGGCCCACTGTATCAAAGGCCAGTGACAGATCAAACAGTAGCAAGCGGGATGACTGCCCCTGTCCAACTTTAAACAAAGATCATCCACCAGTTCTCCGAATCCAGGCCTGATGCCAGACTGCAATGGGTCAACGGAAGATGAAGTACACAGCCATGGACCTGACCACAGACAACAACAGTGCTCACCATTGTTGCCGTGTTGACTGGCATCCATCTCGCTGTCTCTTTCCAGCCAGGAATCGTCCACAAAATGTGCATTTATATCACTACAAGTGGTGCTGTTCATCCATGAACCAGAGGCACTAAGACTGAACAGGCTAGCAAGGGATCTGCGGATTCGCTTCCTTCTCCGGAATATTCTTCCTCAGAATGAAAGAAATAAAAGGGAACATAATAAAATAGTATTTAAAAATGTCCAGGGACATGTACTCCTTAGTTCTCAGCCCTCAGTAGAAACTAAGCTAAAGTTCATGTAGCTCAAGTAACATGCAGTCTTCCCTTGATAGCCTGGTATCCATTTTCTTCTCTTCACCACTCCCATGGGTTTTCTTTCCCTCTGTCAAAATTTAGACTGTAAGCGCCTTGTAACAGGGACCTGTCTTTGTGTAAATGATTCTGTGAAGGACTACCCATAGACACAGATGGTGTTGTATATCTATGTTACGAGTGCTTTCTCAACCTTTAGGACAGAGGTCCCCAACCTTTTTGAGCCTTTGGAATTTTGACATAGTGTGGTAGGTGCAACCACAAAATGGCTGCCACGGAACGACTGCTGTGGAAGACAGAGCCAACTATAAAATGGCTGCCACAGCTTACCTTCAGTCACACAGTGAAGATCCCTTGTGCTGTGGTAGCAGCTGCTGCTGAAGCAATGTTTTAACAAAATCTGCACAGCCAATCAAGTCTCCCGTGGCCACTCGGAAGATTTGCTGGGCAAAAGCCCCACCCATTTTTCTGAAAACATGTAGGGGGCACAAGGAAAAGTGTCTGTGAGCCCCCATGGCACCCACGGACACCACGTTGGGGACCCCTGCTTTAAGTGTTCACCACACAATTCAGAATGATGAAACACAAGAAATAACGTTCTATAATAATCATTATCTACTGACCTCAACAAAAACCTTGGATAAACAGGGGTCATTTCCTGCAGGAGCGCACAGGAGGGGAGCTCCGGCAGTAAGGAGTCCAGGGGGTGGGCACATGCAACAAGCCCCGCCCCCTGCTCCCAGCAGCCGTCAGTTGGGCCGCAAGAAGCAACTAGGTAAGTTGCAGAGCCGCCCGCCTTCAGGTACAAGCTCTCCCTCCTCTGTGAGGGCAGATCTGTGCATCCCCCCCCCCAGCTAGCAATCCAAAACAGTCCAGTGGCACCTTTAAGACCAAGTTTTATTCAGGTACAAGCTCTCCCTCCTCTGTGAGGGCAGATCTGCACAGTCCCCCCCATAGCTAGCAATCCAAAACAGTCCAGTGGAGCCTGAGCAGTGGGTGTTGCCTTCTGACACACTTCTGGTGATGTCACGGGGTGTGGCATATGCAAATAGGTTATGCTAATAAGTTATGATAATGAGCTCCTGTATCTCTTTTTCTACAAAATGACCCCTGAAAAGGAACATTTCAGCTTGCCACCTAGGACTCACAAAGCTGGAGTCCAGGGAACACTTTGCCAGGTGTTAGCTCTGTAAGTGGGGCACCACCACAGAAAAAGGCTGTTGTGGGTCCGGGTCCGGCTGAGGCTGACCCCTCCTCAATTGAGGAAGAGGCAGGGAACAACTTGGGCTCCTCTAGAGACAGCCCAGAGGAAGAACCCTTAGCAGTACCTGAGGAGGAGGAAGAGTCCCCAACAGCTGCACAAGAGGTGCCGCTGGAAGGAGAGACCATTCCTGCGCCGAGGCCAGCAACCCAAGCTGCAGACACCCCAAGGCCAGACTCCCCTGAGTGCCCCAGATGTAGGGCACGGCAGAGGCTGACTTTGCAGGAACGAAGAAGAAGTGCCAGGCTGCAGCTCCAGCAACGTCAATGAGAGGAGTTGTAAGCCTCTGCAGACTCAACTCCAAAGGGAGGGAGGATCTGTTTAAAACCCCTTGGTGCACCGGCTCCAGTGTGGCAACAACTCTGATAAATCAGACCTGCTTCTGAGAGTGCAGCAGTCGCTCCTTGCCTCTGGAAACCTGTGTTCTTGAAATGACTTCCCGGCTCTCCGACCTTTGGCTTTCTCACTGGCCTTGATTCCGGCTCGTGTCTTCAGCTTCTAGCTTATTGCCTCGGTGGCTACCAGCCAAGTCAGCACAAATGCCTTTCCCCTTGGAGCCATCCACCTTATTCCAGAAGGGAGGGTCTCTAGCAAAGTGCTGTCCAGCAGATCTTAACTCACCTAATTAATTTCTCTTTGTAGGTAATGCTTGTCTGTGACAGGCTCAGTGTAATGTTGCCGTCTTCATCAGACAGGACACTGTCCTCTGTGAGGATGTAGTAGCCATTCATAAGGAGTCGGGGGCTGCGGCGGCACGCAAAGGCACAACCCGTACTGGGGTTGGTGGAGCGACATTCGTAGGAGACCTCATGATCCAGAAACATGTCTGTGTAACTGGAATAATGAGCCACAAAAGAACAATTATGGTGGATTCTGCATTGGTACTTTCCACTGCTTCAGCTACACTCTCGCTCCGTCTCCAAAAAAGATGTCCACATCTCTTTAGGTTTTGCTCTCCTACTGCACTGTTCTAATTTCTGCTGTCTGCATTATTTTATAGTCCTGTGGTTTCTGCTCCATCATGATTGTGGCTTCTCTCCGGCTCAAATGGATGTGCTTAAAAGCACTCTAAGCCCCCCCCCTCCAAGTGCTAATCGGAGGCTTATCTGCTCTGTTTACCTTCTGACAGCACATAGAGGAGTGTAAGAAACTTCTCCCTTGCTTGACAAGCTAAGAGTGAATGATTTTATCTTGTTTTGTGATTTTTATATTGCCTGAAAAGTTAGAAAAAGATCCCTTCTACATACATACATACATACATTCTGCAAACAAAACACCCAGTCTTTACAGTTTTTTGGCTATTTTTGATTTTTTGTTTAAACCAAAAGCTGGGCAAAACTGAAAGCTGAGAAAATCCTTCTCTTTGAATGTAAAGAGAAGTTTATAGCTTGTTGGTTTGTTGCCTTAAGTACCATATTTTTCGGACCATAAGACGCACCTAGTTTTTAGAGGAGGAAAACAGGGGAAAAAATATTCTGAACCCTGGGGCTCAGTATTCGGTCCATAAGACGCACACACTTTCCCCCTCACTTTTTTTGGAAGAAAAAGTGAGTCTTATGGTCCAAAAAATACGGTAATTTATTGCCTTGTGTAACGCTAATGGGTCAGGGAGTGCTAGAGAAGAGGGAGGGGAACAACAACATTCCTGGCCAGCAAGCAGAAAAAAATAGCAGATTTGTTCGTACCCCTTTGAAAAAAGCAGATGCTGTTGGACAGCGCACAAATCTCAATGATACATGATATGATTTCAAGCTAGGACTAGGTAGAGTTCTCAGTACTTCAGGTTACATGGGGTTTCAGCTGTGGAACTTTGTCAGTCTGCAGTACAAGTCTTCAAGTATTTGAAGGGCTGTCATGTAGAAGATGGAGCGGATCTATTCTCTCTTGCTCCGGATTGCAAGACTAGATCTAATGGGTGGAATTACAAGGAATCTAATGGGCAGAATTACAAGGGATCTAAGGGGTGGAAATTACAAGGGAGTCGTTACCGGCTAAATATCAGGAGAAACTTCCTAAATGTGGAACAGTCTGCCTCGGAAGGTGGTGGATGCTCCTTCGCTGGACGTTTTCAAGCGGAAGCTGAACGACCATCTTTTGGGTACGTTGTAGGTATGTAGGGCTATCTTTCAGCTATGCTCCTGCAGAGTGCAGGGGGTTGGACTAGATGACCTGCAAGGTCCCTTCCAACTCTAACATTCTATGATTCTATGAACAAGATTCCCGTTTAGGTTGCCAATTGGTGTGGGAGGGTGGGGCTTAATGGCAGGAAAACTAGGCCTAGGGCTGCATTGCTGGCAATGCACCCACATCACTTCCGACCTGTACAAGAAGTGACATCACTACCCTGCCAGTGACATGGGGACACTCGTTATTTGAGCAAAAACTCTATGGTAGAAGCCATTTTTTTTTTATCAGAGCATACCTTCATCACCAGCAACTGAGTGTAGGTCTGTTAGATCCCTCTGATCCAAATTGCGGGTGGGGATAACTACATTCCAAACAGACAAGATGTTTCCTGGGTGCTTGTGGCTCAGGACACACAGCACAACACTGGCTCTACCAGTGGTGGATGGTGATCCCGTAGGAGGGCCAGTATGCTCCCCAAGGCCATTTCAGGTCAGAAAAACAGAATGGGGAGTAGGGTTGCCAGGCCTCCCCCTGCAACCACTGGGAGATTTGGGGGTGGGGCTGTGTCCCCTGCGTGCCCTAGGGAAACCCCCCCCATCTCTATGGCAAAAATTATGGCATTTTTTCAGGGGGGTTCCTAGAGCATTGCCCAAACATGATGTCACTTCCAGGATCAGATGCCATTCCCTGGCTTTTGTTTTTCTTTTTCTTTTGCTGCTATAGCCATCAGTGGCAGTGGGCAAGCCTATGCTTAAGTCCCTTATCTCTGTGGTCCCAAATCAAATAAAAACCCTGGAATACTACATTGTATAATTATATCCAGGGGTCACTTCCTGCAGGAGCGCACAGGAGTGGAGTTCCGGCAGTAAAGAGCCCAGGGGGCGGGCACATGCAACAAGCCCCACCCCCTGCTCCCGGCAGCCCTCAGTCAGAGCAAGAAGCAGCCAGGTAAGTTGCAGAGCCCCCCCACCCCCCAAGGTCCAAAACAATCCAGTAGCACCTTTAAGACCAAGTTTTATTCAGGTACAAGCTCTCCCTCCTCTGCGAGGACAGATCTGCACGTCCCCCCCCAATAGCTAGCAATCCAGAACAGTCCAGTGGAGCCTGAGCAGTGGGTGTTGCCTTCTGACACACTTCCGGTGATGTCAGGGGGTGTGGCATATGCAAATGAGTTATGCTAATGAGTTATGCTAATGAGCCCCTGCGCCTCTTTTTCTACGAAATGACCCCTGCTTAGGTCCTTGTAGCCCTGCCTGCTATACCAGCAGATGAGACCAACATATAGTAATTAACACCCTGCACTGTTAAGTACTGGGTTCTAGACGCATTGCAGCGATCAGCTCAGGTTTATTCAGTGATTCCAGCAAACTACAAGATGAAGCTAGCAGGGCTGGAGCCCTGCTTATAAGCATGCAAGACACCACACCCAACACTCACACACTCCCAGTGATAGGCTTATGTACATTACACTTCTTATCAATTGGTTAGTTCCTGGATCCAGGAGAGCTATTGTTCTAGAGAAATAAGCTCAACCCGTTCTAGGTACAGCTGGAGGAAAGGCTTAGGCTCAATACATATCATGCACTTAGCACGCTTATTGGAGAGCGGCTTGAATGGGTGAGTGAATGAAGGGAATACCTGGCCGTGATGTGTTCTGAGGCCATATTTTCCCTGGCGTCGTCTTCAACCAATGAAGAACCTGTTGAAGCACAGAATGGAGAAATAGAAACATCAGAACTGGTTTTTTTCCCCTCCCTTAGGGAGGGCACGGCTTTCCCTAATGCAGCTGTGGGGGTTGGCTTAAACACTGGAGAAGATGGACCCTTGTCCTAGAGGTCAGACCTTTGGTGATGCTCGCATTTCATACCTGAACACACAAGAAGCTGCCTTATCCTGAATCAGACCTTTAGTCCGTCAAGCTCAGTATTGTTTACTCAGACGGGTAGTGGCTCTCCAGGGTCTCAGGCAGTGGTCTTTCCCATCCTCTGTTGCCAGATCCTTTAACAGGAGATGCCGGGGATTGAACCTGGGACCTCAGTGAACCAGGCTTCCTCAGGAGGTGGCGGGCTCTCCTTCTTTGGAGGTTTTAAAGCAGAGGCTAAATGGCCATCTGACAGCAATGCGGATTCTGTGAATTTAGGCAGACTGTGAGAGGGAGGGAAGAGCCAGTGCTTGGCCCTTGTGGCCCTTTCTTACATTCCCAGCCTAATGTCGATCACGACTTTGGGCTCAGGAAGGATTTTTTGTCTTCAGGCCAGGTTGCCCAGGGATCCTGAAGGGTTGTTGGGTTTTTTTGCTTTCCTCTGGGCATAGAGCAGGGGTCACTGGGGGAGTGGTGGGGTGGTAGTTGTGAATCTCCTGCATTGTGCAGGGGGCTGGACTAGATGACCCCTGAAGTCCTTTCCAGCTCTATGTTTCTCTGTTTCTAAACAATGAAAATGTAAGTTAAGACATCCTGCTCCCCTTCTGTACTGATCATTAGATTGACTTTTAAAAAAATGTATTTTAATAATTTTTATTAAAAGTAACATCATCAAAACAGGATGTGCTTTCACACACACTAAATAACGCACTTTCAATTCACTTTCAGTGCACTTTGCAACTGGATTCTGCTATGGGAAATGGCAAAATCCACTTGCAAATGGTCACTGAAGTGAATTGAAATTTAGCACATGTGAAAGCACCAGAATCATAGTGCGGAATACAAACAGGTACCAAAGCAAAGATAATTGACATATAATTAGATCGACTTTTAAACCAACAACGCCCCCAGATTGGTAACGGCAGCTAGACTACCCTCTTTGCACGGTGGCCCCATTACCATTTCCATGGAATAGTTTCTTTTAAAATGCATGAAGGCAGAGAAGAAGAAAAAGCCTGCTTTCATAAAGGAGATTGTTTCAGTGACCTATTAAAGAGAAGATGTTACAGACAGTACGTTGTCTGCATCCTGTTGTCTACTGGAGCGACGTAAGTTATGACATCCTGCTCCCCTTCTTTACTGATCATTAGATTGACTTTTTAAAAAAATTTATTTTAATAATTTTAATTAAAAGTAACATCATCAAAACAGAATCATAGTGCTGAATACAAACAGATACCAAAGCGAAGGTAACTGACATATAATTCGATCGACTTTTAAACCAACAACGCCCCCAGATTGGTAACGGCAGCTAGACTACCCTCTTTGCACGGTGGCCCCATTACCATTTCCATGGAATAGTTTCTTTTAAAATGCATGAAGGCAGAGAAGAAGAAAAAGCCTGCTTTCATAAAGGAGATTGTTTCAGTGACCTATTAAAGAGAAGATGTTACAGACAGTACGTTGTCTGCATCCTGTTGTCTACTGGAGCGATCCAGTACAAAGTTACGCTGTTGATTTAGAAAGGCTGGAGTAACTTTACACAGGATTGCCTTGGATGCACTTCTGGTAAATGCTACGTGTTCATCCACACTGACACAAAGCATCACAACACCGCACACATATTGGCTAGTGAGCGGATGGGAGTCACTTTCCTCGACAGCTAGATCCCAGACCAGTAGCACCGAAGAAACCAACAAGAATCAAGGCTTCCCTCATTCCCATCTGACTCAAAAGCTTATACTCCCCCAGATCTCGTTGCTCTCTAAAGTGCTACTACTAGACTCAAATCTATTGCAGACCAACACCGACACCCTCTGAAACTTCCCTCGACAGACGTCCCAAACGCCCCCAGAAATCTCAGTCTCAACAGTCAGTGGAGGACCCTTGGCTCCAGCCAACTGATATCATCATTAAGAAAACACGAGACAAAAGTAGAAAAATCCCTCAGACCTGGAAAAGACATTTTGCCAGTTCGCAAAGGACCCCCGCCTTTCAAATCTCAGTCTCAACAGTCAGTGGAGGACCCTTGGCTCCAGCCAACTGATATCATCATTAAGAAAACACGAGACAAAAGTAGAAAAATCCCTCAGACCTGGAAAAGACATTTTGCCAGTTCGCAAAGGACCCCAGCCTTTCATCCATCTGACAGTCTGCACCACGGACTGGACCATAACAGGTTGGTGCCTGTTAGCGTTGCCGCCTGCTGCCAAAATGGGACTG